TAGCTGAGTTTTGGTGAGACAGCATGTTGTTCCTCACAGCTTTCGGAACTGGCCCCAATAGGGTGGACTCAAACCCCATAATCGCAGACAGAAAGAGTTCCGAGCAGATGATGGAATATCAGAAGTTTTGGGATCATCAACTCTTTCATCAACCTCCTTAAAATCATCGGGTTTCCCCGGCAAAATTTGTACATCGTCATCCTTGACGGGCTGCACGATGAAGGCATCAACCTCTTTCTGAACCTCGGCAGCAAAGTGCTCAGCAACGTGCCGAGGAGACTGTGATAGGACAGTAAGAGTCCTCTGCTGTACTTCTTCCACCTGATCCTCGGGAGGAGGAGGAGTCTTTTCCTTGGCCGCCTCGGCCTGGCTCTCAGCGAGCCGAGGTCTCTTGGCAGCAGGCTCAGAAACCGGGAATTCTCCTGGGTTTACAACAACTCTTCTCAACCTCCTCCTCCTCGGGGCTGCCATGTCTTCTTCTGAAGATTCGTCCGAAGAAGATGACTTAAATTTTTCAGGATCCTTCTTGTTTTCTTCTTCTTCGTCAGACTGCAGTAGAAGAAACAAGGGGGGAAAGGGGTGATATCAATATCATCAGTATCATTAAAAAAAAATACATAAAGCCGAATCTTATTACTTGGACAATTTTCGCAAGATGAAAGGTATGGGAAGAAGGAGTGAGGCAGCTGAAGTTTGATACTAAGTAAAAAGAACAAAAGCTAGGAGTAAATGAAAGCTGAGGAAGCATTAAAAGCTTATTGAAGACTTCAACAACAATTTATCTTCAGCGCTTAGGACGTAGGGCTCAGCAACAGGTGTTGCTTGCTCAGTGTTCTGCCCGGAGCCAACAGTAAGGACTCTAGCATCAACAGCGGCAGCAGTAACAACTGCTTATTCCTCGGGGCCTAAGAGAAAAAGGGGTCCCTCTTCAAATACCAAGGCTTCTGCTTGGACTACTCAGCTGGCTTAACTATTTTAAGCTGTGATGGATGCAATGATGGGGCCGTGGCCGAAGGAAAAATAATAACAGGAGCGTTCCTCGTCACTTGCCGAGAAGCGCTAATTCCAAGCCTCCTATACTCCAAGCCACAGTTTCCCTCGTGCAGCACTGAAAAACCGAAAGAAAAAGGTTATTCTGCATGAAAAGGAAAATAAGCAAGGAGAAAAATAAGTAAAAAAGACAAGTAAAGGCTTTCGGCCCTAGCCGAGCTTCTTACCATCTTGATATTTTCGGTTGAGGCTGACAACAGCTAATATCTTCTCCTTGAAGATATAATTGTAGTAAGGGAGCCAGGTCTCTGGCACATAAACCTATCGGCCAGTCCCCCATGGGTTCTTCTTCTTTCCGAAGAGAGTCATCAACTCCTTCTCTTCGGCTGTGAATTCATTAGGGCCGAGGATGCTCATCTTAGGATTAAGCCTTCTCAAATGCCTCGGCCCACCAAAATAGTTCGGGTGCCCTTCTTCGGCTGGGGCCCAAATCCATATCCACTGTCCCCTTCAGTCCTTGTCAGAGGTGTCATTTGGCCAGGTGATTAGGAAACGCCTTTGGGTTTCAATTCTCCACCAACCAGGCCGTGGCGTTCATCAGACTGCTGATTTGGCATCAGCTTATGTAATTTTCAAAACACGCTCAGACTCGGATCAAAGCCGTAAAAAAGACAGACCCACAAAAATGTCATAACTCTTCGGATACTGACTGGGGTCAGTTGACACAAAGAAATGTTATACCCATTCAATATTTGTACAACAAATGGGTGCAATGGAAATCTAAGGCTAGATTGAAGCTTCCTGGTATACACGCCGATGTAACCAGGCGGGGGTCTATGAATTATATCCTCGGCAACGGGCATTTGACACCAATACCCGTCTTCCTCCATAATGCCGTAGAATAATTCGATTTGCTCGGCAAAATGATGGAGGGCATCCCCTTTGACCCCCCAGTCATAGGGGGCAGCATTTACCAAACCATTGTTCTCGGACGGGGCATCCCATTCCTCATCCCAAGCAGGCAGGCGCCGAGGCCCATGCGCTGAGCCACTGGCGGAGGTGCTGGCCTCCTCCCAACCTCGATACAACACCGAATTTAGTGGTATCGTAGCAATGGGGGGTTCCCCGGAAGAATCTGTATCCTCTCGTCACGGAAGAGAGGTGTTATTGCTTAAGCCTGGCATTCACCCTAATGGCTCAGTGCGCCTAGTACTTTGCTGAGGGGCTTCCTCATCATCAACCCCCATAGGTCTTTTTCCCAAATCTCGGGCCAATTTTGCAAAAAAGCGAAAAATCGAGAAAAAAGAGAGAACTCGAAATTTGCCGATCTATTGATACGGGGCAACAAATTTCAGTGTAAATGCTCGGAATCGCAGAGAATAAGGAAGAATTGAAATTGGGTTTGCAAGGGTATTTGCGAATTGCGGTGAGTTTGTGTTTGCGAAATGAACCGGAAAATAGTGGTAAGGGCAGTTTATATAAGTGTGCTAGAATCAAGAATTCCAAGAGTATTTAATCGCCATAACCCCACTAAATTCCACTTAAACACAACCGTTAAACACGTCCTTAGATTAACTACCCACTAAACCTTCTACCTTCCTTAGTTATTCTCCCTAATGAAAGTTAAAGCATCATTAACTATCTAAATTCCAAATTCAAAATTCAATCATTTGTTTCCCTCTATCTGGAAAATCCAAACCCGACCCGTCTTTCATCCGAATCGGGTCGGGGGGGGGGGGGGAAGTTATTTGGGTCCTATTCAGTCATCCCTAATTGGGCCGGTCCAAATGATTAAATTACAAAAGCCTAATGCAAGGTTCAATTCTCCACTAGCATGCTAAAGTCAATCAAGCCCAATCAGCATGGCAAACCCATCTGACTTCAAGGGCCCAAGCCTCTTCATTGAGCAAAGGTATAAAAGCCATCAATTGTATTAATTTACGGTCATTCACAATCAGCCTCAAGCAATTAATTCTCTTGCATAGCATTTACTCTCAATACACTGAACTGACTTTAGCATCGGAGGGGCCTTCCTCGGCAACCACCCCCGAGGCTAGTTTACGTGTGTTTGCTGTGCAAGAAATCCTTGTCCCAATAGTCACTTGGACCGAGACCAGTCTTCTCCCTTGAAAAGAGCCTGCTATAGGTCCTATTGTTTTCATCCGAAACAATGATTATTGAGAAAACACACAAAAACAAGCAATCTATGAATTAACAAAGAAGCAGTACACTAGATTTTCTTCCCTCATTGCTCTGCCCTTAGAGTTCGAGCTCGGGTACTAAAACTAATCAAAGCATTAATGGAGGTTTGTCCTCAAGTTTATAGAGAGAAAGTAAACTATAGAGAGAGAAAGAATCTAATGAATGAATGAAAACTACTGCTAGCTAGCCTATAATACTACTGTCCTAAAGTGGTTGCAACCACTTATTACAATCAAAGAAAATAAAATGCTGACTGTGTATTTTTGTAACAAACTAAAGAATCTGTCATAATAGAAAAATGCTAGCATGGCTAAGTTGCTGACTAGACGAGGCTATGCAGCTTCTAGACCTTCTGCTAAGCATTACTCTCATTAACCCCCCCTCTCAAGCTTAGGGTGGTGTGAACCATACCAAGCTTGGACAGTAAATCATTAAATTAAGCTGAGGGTAGAATTTTTGTGAAAATATCAGCAAGCTAGCTAGAAGTAGGCAAATAACTCAGCTGCTAAAGACCTTCAAGAACCTTATCCCTTGTAAAGTGACAATCGATCTTAATACGCTTCATCCTCTCTTGGAAAACTGGGTTCCTGGAAATGTGAAAAGCACTTTGACTGTCACAATGAAGGGTGACAGTTTTGAGAGAAGATAGACCCAATTCCTCAAGTAGTTTGACTGTCCAAGTTACCTCAGATGCAGCTGAGGCCATAGCCTTATATTTTGCTTCAGATGAACACTTGGAAATTGTGCTTTGTTTCTTACTTTTCCAACTTATAGGAGACTAGCCTAAGCCTGGGATTGACTTTCTAGAATCAGGGAAAGCACCCCAATATCTATCAGAAAAAAGCCTGTAAATTCAGATGATCAGAAGCTTTAAGAAGAATTCCCTGGCTGAAGTTGATGCAACATACTTGAGAGTATGCTGCAAAGATTGAAAGTGAGGGATCCTGGGAGACTGCATATATTGACTTAGTGTTTGTACTGTATAGGAAAGATCTAGTCTGGTGTTTGTTAAAAATATTGAGCTTGCCAATCAAACACCTGTAAAGAATAGGATCCTGAAAGAATTTTGTGGCAAGGGTGTAGCAACTCTTCTGTCCACCTGAATCCCACCAGTAGATAAGAGCTCTTTGGTGAGCTTATGCTGTGTCATAGTAATACCATCTGCTGTATAGCCTGAGAACACCCAAATCCTTTATGCTGAAAACCAAGTCAAGATGCCTCTCTAGTTGATCAATACTGGAAGAATCTGTTCCAGTAATGATCATGTCATCAACATATACTGCAGCAATTGTAGTATGTTCTCCAGACTTATTTATGAAAAGAGAATAATCATGTTTAGAATGAATAAACCCTTGAGAAAAGTTCACTGACCAATTTAGCAAACCATTGCCTTGAAGCTTGCTTAAGGCCATATAGTGACTTTCTTAGCTGTACACCTTGTTTCCAGTATTTGGTACTCTTTCTGGCATCTTCATATATACTTCCTCATGTAAATCACCATGAAGGAAGGCATTGTTAACATCTAATTGAAAAACCTTCCAATTTTTTCTTGTTGCCAAAGCTAAAATGCTTCTCACAGTTGCCATCTTGACAGTTAGAGAAAAAGTTTCTTAATAGTCAATACCTTCATTTTGTGTATATCCTTTAGCAACTATTCTAACTTTGTATCTTTATAGAGAACCATCTGACTTGAGCTTGACCTTGTACACTCATTTGCAGCCTATAGGTTTTTTCCCTTTAGGTAAGTCAACAACATCCCAGGTGTGATTTCTTTCTAAAGCATCAAGTTCCTTTGACATAGCTGTATTTCAGTTCTGATTCTGAGAAGCAACCTTATATGACTCAGGTTCTGTTAAAGCAGCTTTAGAGGTAATTAAACACTTTTGGTAGTAGACAAATCCTGAAAATGGACCATGTTACACCAATGTTTAGAAATAGATCTCCCTTTTGTAGAACAGTCATAGTCATCCAAATATGAAGGAGGTTTAGTTAGTCTAGATGATGTTCTGACATGAAGAGGTAGTGGAATATTGGAAATATCTAGGACAGTAGAGCTAGTGTCAGAATTAGACTCATAATTTGATTCAAAAGTCAGGAAGTGAGAACATAGCTCAGTGTCAGCTTGACTAGAATTGTCTGTCCAGAATACATCTGGAAAATCAAAGGAAGGATCATATTCAATGTTTACAGGTAAGTAAATTTTGAAGTTGAAGAAGAGGGAGTAGTAGGAAAATCAGAAAAATGATATGGGAAGTGCTTTTCATGAAAAATGACATCCCTTGACACTTGAATATTCTTTGTATGAAGATTCAGAACTTTGTAGGCTTTTTTATTGGTGGATAAACAAGAAAGACACAAGGCTAAGCTCTAGAGTCGAATTTGGTTCTTTGTTGTTTAACTGTTGAGACAAAACATAAGCAACCAAATACTCTTAAGTGGTCAACATGAGGCTTCACACCAAATAATCTTTCATAAGGTGATATATTATGCAAAACTTGTAGGGGCATCCTGTTTATCAGATGAGCAACACACAATAGACATTCTCCCCAATACTGAACAAGTACTTTAGACTGGAAATATAGAGCCCTTGCTGTCTCTAAAAGATGCATGTGCTTCCTCTCCACAACTTTATTTTTCTGTGGGGTGTCTGTGCACAGCTTTTCTAAATGATAATTTCCTTCTTATTATAAAACCTTTTCAATTCCCCTTCAGTTAGTTCCTTGGCATTGTCAGACCTCACACAAAGAACCAAAGAAGTAAATTGTATTTCAGCATAAGCAACAAAATCTTGCAATATTTAAAAAACATCAGACTTATATTTAATCAAGTGAACCCATGTATTTCTTGAAAAATCATCAACTATAATGAGAAACATATTACAACAATTGTAAGTTGAAATTTGATAGGGTCCCCATATATCTTCATGAATTAATTGAAAGGGTTTATTACACTTAATGCTATTAACTGAAAAAGGTAGTATAGTCTGCCTAGCTGCAGGACAGACCTGACAAATATAATCCTATAAACAACTATCATTAAAGTGTTCCTTAACATAATGTAATCTAGAAAAGGGGCAAGTGACCAAATCTCAAATGCCAAAGCTTAGTTTCCTCCTTGTCTTTATTCTTCAAACTGGAATTACAAGAAGTCACATTTGCAGCATGCTTATTAAAAACTTCTTCAAGTTTTCCCACGACACTATTACTTTGTTGAACTTCTGTACAATAAAGGCCATCTCTCAGTTTACCAAGAACTAGTGTCTGGTTCAGATGTTGACCCTGAATAATGCAAGAATCAACTGTGAAATTTACATTACAATTCATGTCTCTACAAAGTTTATGCACATAATTTAGATTAAAATGAAACCCTGGCACATGCAAAACATCTTTTAGTACGACTGTATCATTCAATCTTACAGTTCCTATATGTATAACCTTGACCCTTTTTCCATCTGGAATGGTTATAGTATTGTCTATGTCATTCATCAACTCATAAGACTCAAATATCCTCAAATCATGACATATATGGTCTGTAGCACCACTATCTATCACCCATTGTCTACTAAAACTAGCCATAAGACAAATTTAACCTGTAAAGAAGGCATGTCATGTATTGTTCTGCTTGTCTGATTTCTCAGCATATGGACCTGATTGCTTTCCAATGAATACCAAATACTATTTGTACTGATTAACACTAATTTGCCCCTTACCATTAGTGTTATGTATCTGATTTTCCATTAAAGCATTCTCATCATTTTCTTCTGAATCAGTCATAGCAAGATTGGCATCTCTTGCTTTCTGAGCATTTCCAGTCCATCATGTAGGGTAACCATGCAACATGAAGCACCTTTCTATGCCATGCCTTGGTATCTTACAATGATCACAAAACCACTTGGAAGCTCTTTTAGATCCTGACATCACCTTTCCACTAAAATTCTGATATGCATTCCTAGTATTCCGAGCATTATCAGTGTTTTGTCTGTAACCTTTGTCTGTATGCCTATCATAGAATCTCTTCCTGTCTACAGCAAAGGCCATTGATTCAATTCCACTTCCTGCAGCAATTTGACTTACTTCCTTAGGCCTTTCTTCTTGCATACAAAGCCTGTGAGCAACACCAATAGTAGGAAGTGGTTGCATCAATAAGACGTGTGTCCTTACCATGGACAATTTATCATCTAGTTTCATAAAAATCATAATCAATGTTTGATCTTGTTGATTCTTAAGCATTTTCTGAGTGACTGCACATGTACAATTTGTACAAATACACATTGGCAAAGGATTCTCACTATCTATTGCATCTCAAACTGTCTTAATTCTAGTAAAGAATTCAGTCACAGACTCATTTCTACCTTGCTTCATGTCTATGAGTTCCTGTTGTAAGGAATACAACTGTGTTGCAGAGGTTTGTCCAAAACGATCCTCTAAATCCTTCCAAATTTCTCTTGTAGTCTTATGAAACCATATACTCTTAGCTAATTTCTAGAGAAAACAACAAATAGCCAACAACGAGATCATTGCACCTTTGCCAAGCTCTAGCAATTAAGTCTGTCTCATTTGGCTGAATAATAAATCCATCTATGAAACCTAGCTTGTTTCTAGATGATATCCCTAGCATCATAGTTCTCTTCCAGTTATTATAACCGGTTCCATTAAACAAATCATTCAACAATTTTGTATTGGAATTATAAGAAGGATGTATATAGTATACACTTCTAAGAATAGTTGTAGGATCTACTGAACTTTCACGAGCCATTTTCAATAAACAAATTCTGAATTCTACTTCAGTTCCAACAGATTCAAGAAGAATATACCAATAACTAACCAACACAATTAATCAAGCAAGCAATTAATTCTTCTCATACACAACTGATAATCCAGTATAACAGAATTCAACAAGCAACATCCAGATGTTAATCTCCAAACAATTCTCAGCCAAACAATTATCAAAGAAAATCACAAAAAATATCTCCAATCACAATTAACTTCAGTCAAGAATTTCCAAGAAACTATCAAAACAACAATTAAACGATTACCTCAGATTCTTCAACTATTTCAATTGTTCGATTACTCTGCAGACTTCAGCAAAATCGAACGCAACAATTTGTAAACACAAAAGCACAAACCTGCTCTGATACCATGAGAAAACACACAAAAACAAGCAATCTACGAATCAAAAAAGAAGTAGAACACCAGATTTTCTTCCTTCATTGCTCTGTCCTTAGAGTTCAAGCTCGAGTACTAAAACTAATAATCAAAGCATTAATGGAGATTTTTCCTCAAGTTTACAGAGAGAAGGTAAACTAGGGAGAAAGAAAGAATCTAATGAATGAATGAATACTACTACTAGCTAGCCTATTAATACTATTGTCCTAAAGTGGTTGCAACCACTTATTATAATCAAATAAAATAAAAGGGAAATTCTACATGGTGGCCTCATGGTTTTGAGTTTTCTACATGGAAGACGAACTTTTTTCCAGCTCTCTTTAGTGGCACCAGGGTTTAGAAAAATTTACATAGTGACCTTTTTTAGGTTTATGGCTAACCTATTTAGTTAAAATGGTTAACCTTTTATTTTATTTTTTTATTAAAAAACTATTTAAATTATATTTTAAAATAATAAAATTTTAAAAAAAAAACAAAAAAAATTCCTAGCCACCAATCCTTGCCGGAATCCGGCCACCCCTGACCACCGAAACCACCTTCCAGCCCAACCCTTGACCATCGAAACCACCAAAACTGGCCGGTCGGCCTTCCACAATCCCACCTGACCTAGCTCCGACCCCCAAAACCGCCACCCTGATCCCCAAAACAACTACCAAATTCAACGAAACCACCGCCATCCCCGTCACGAAACCCTAAATTCAAATGCTAGCACCTCTTTTCCTTCACACAAGCTCTCTCTTTTCCCATAGGCTAGGGTTTTATTAGGTTTTGAGGGTGGATCGGCGCGCGGTTCACGGTGTTAGAGACGGAGGGCGGTGGTTTCGCGGCGGATTCGAAGGTGGTGGGTGGGGATTTGTGGGTTTGTTTCAAGTATGGGGGAAGGGTGGTGCTGGGGAAAGGGGTTGTTTCCGGTGTGGCTGGCTGGGTTGGGGTGGTTTTCGGGGAGTTCGTGGTGGATGTGGAGGTAGAGGAGGTTCATGGGGTGGCTGGTTGGGTTGGGGCGGTTTTTTTTTTTTTTTTTAAAGTTTATAATTTTAAAATATAATTTAAATAATTTTTTAATAAAAGGTTAACCATTTTAACTAAAAAGGTTAGCCATAAACCTAAAAAAGGTCACTATGTAGATTTTTCTAAACCTTGGTGCCACTGAAGAGAGCTGGAAAAAAAATTCGTCTTCCACGTAGAAAACTCAAAACCATGAGGCCACCATGTAGAATTTCCCAAAATAAAATGCCGACTGTGTATTTATGTAACAAACTAAAGAATCTGTTATAGCAGAAAAATGCTGACGTGGCTAAGTTACTGATTAGACGAGGCTATATGCAGCTTCTGGAACCTTCTGATGAGCATTACTCTCATTAATTATATAATGGGTTATTGAGCTAAACTTATTCCAGGTTGGATGAGAGTTCAAATACATATAAAATATCAGTTTAGCGATGATCCATTCTAAAAATCAATTGAGAAAAGCTTGTCAAAAAGAAAATAAAAATTAATTGAGAAAAGTATAGTAACCACACCAACATAGAGTTTTATGCTGAATCAACCTCCATATCACTAATTTTAACATGGCTTATAAATGCATCCTTTCTTTCAAAAAAGGGGGAAAAAACAAAAAAAACAAACTCGTAGGTATATTTTTTTTCACAAAAAATGGTTCATTAGTGGAAAAAATGCTATTAGCAACTGGCGAAAAGTGGCTACAAATCCTGCCATTTCTTCTTCATCTTCTTCTCATTCTAAAACCCTAAATCTCTCTTCTTCAATCTCCTTAAACCCATCAATTACATTCATCAAAAGATTATTACCCGCATTCCGATGCGAATCCCAAAATCGTCGGCATTGGACGATGGTTGATTATCACATCTCTAAACTCAACTATTGAATCGAAATTGGTGGTGCGATTTGCGATTGAATATGGTGAATTAGTAGGAGATGATAGAGTGTTCTCGTGTAATACTCCATATTTTTATAATATTTTTATATTTATAAATTATTTATTTTATTTAGGAAATTCATGGAATAATCCCACCTTTGCGCCGTTTGTTTTTAATAATCCCACCTTTGAATTATTTTTTAATAATCCGACCTTTCTCCCAATTCTTTTTTAATGGTTCCATTTGACCAGAAACCGATTAAACCGGTCAAATTTTTTTTTTTTGATTTAAAATACACGTGTCACTATGCAATTTGTCTAAAATTTTAAATTAAAAAACAAAATTAAAAAAAGAAAAACAATTTTTAAAACTCAACAACCACCATTCCACCAACCAGCCACCCACACCACCACCTCCACCAGTCAGCCACCTTTTTCCCCTCCCCCTTTGCCAGCGCCCAGTCTTCCCCATACCGCCGACGACCCTAAACCGACCTCGACTCTTTCTCCAAGCCCCCACCCTTTCCGATCGTCCACCTCGACCACCGCCTGAAACTCGCATCCCCCATCCACTTGCCTAGCCGCCTGAAACCCGTAACCCATCTCTAACCCCTTGGCTGAAACTCGCAACCCATCCCCCACCCTTGCCTGAATCCCGTAACCCATCCCACCCCCTCGCCGCAAACGGAAACCCTTATCCACCCTCCACCAGCTCTGAAATCCCCATCCTCACCTCTACCAGCTCTAAACTTCACCTGAAACACTGAGGCCGTGACCTCCATGTTTTCAATTGAGGAAAGAGAAGAGAAAAAGGTGGGGTAGGTGGCTAATTGGGGTTGTTGACAGTCGTGGAGGAGAGAGAAAAGAGGAGGAAGAAGGGTGGTGGTCTGGGAAGAAGGGGAAGGGGGTGGGTGGTCGGATTTCAGAGGGGAAGAAGGTGGGGTGGATGGGGAAGGGCGGTGAAGGTGGCTGGGGTGGCTGGGAGTATGTCGGAATTCATGGAGGTGAGAAAGAGTTGGGCAGGGGAAAGAGGAAAGGGGTGGCTGGGAGTATTTTTTTCTGTTTTTTTTTTCTTTTTAATTTTTTTGACCAATCACAGGCCGCCACGTGTCATGTAACCTGTTATAACAAGTTACATGACCGGTCGGGACCAGTAAAAAAGAATTAGGGGTAAAGGTTGGATTATTCAAAGGTGGGATTATTAAAAACGAACGGCGCAAAGGTGAGATTATTCCCATGAATTTTTCCTTTTATTTATTTTATAAATTAAAATGATTCATTTTATTTTTAAAAGAAATTAATTATTTAAATATTATGTAAATGTGCATAAAATAATATGAGTCATTAATTGAGGCAATAAAAGTGTTTTAAATTGGGTCATCTTTATTTTAATAGTTGGATCAATTTGTTGAGGAATTGAGGACACTTAAAAGCCCAACAAGTTGGCCCCAAAGGAAGAAGTCAAGGGGGAGTAGGATTTAGTAATGATAGTTTTGTAATTATGAGTTTTTGTTTTAGAAGGGGAGTATAAATACTTCAAAACCTCAAGATTTTTCACTCTAAAATCATAATTATCAGATTTCACAAAAATTCCAAGGTTTTCTCTTTATTTTCTCTCTCCTCTTTCCCCTTATTTTTCCTCTCTTTTGTTTTTTCTCTTCTTTTTCCTCTCCTTCCCTACGCCTCTCTCTCCCTCTTCTTCTCCCCTGACGCCGGCAACCACTAGCGCCACCACCACCACTGGCGAGCCACCGGGAGCAGCGGCAGCACCGGCGCACCACCGACCACTCTCTCCTTCTCTCTTCTCTTTTGTGGTTTGGTAGTGTATATATATATATATATATATATATATATATATATATATATATATATATAATAAAAAATAAATAAAAAAAACTCTTTTCTCTTCCTAATTTAATTCTATTGTTTTTATTAATTTAAAGCATGATTTTGATTATGTTTTGGTTTTGATTTTGGGTATTTGATGTTGTTAAATTGTTTATATAATTTTCAGATTTTTATTCAATCAAAAACCTCAATTTACAAACCCTAGAATTTGGGAATTTAATATTTATGGTTAGGGTTTGATCCTAGGTTGATGTTGTTGTTTAATTAATGGTTTAAACATGCTTTAATGAGTATAAAGCCCTCAAATTAATGCTGAAATTTATCTATGCACACTACTTTTTAATTATTGAGTTAGGGTTTGATTACCCATAAAAGGGAAAAAAGTTTAATGATTTAAATATGATTTCCTAGTCTATTAGTGATGTTTTATATTAAATAAGTATGCTAGAATTTTTTTATTTAAGTCATAAAAATTAAGTCTATTTGAAAGATTTGAAGTACCCACTTACAGAAAAGGTTTTATGGCTTTTATGTCATTAAATTGGGTTAATTAGTAAGGTTTAAAGAGTATAATAGTTGCTGAAAATTTGTGAGAATAGTGGATTAATTATAGTTATATATTCTTAATTGTAGGGAACTTTGAGCTAGGTGATTTCTAGCGAGTGTGGCCGAGTTTAGGCATTATTCAAGGTACGTATGTGCACAACAATATTTGTGTATGCGTAGTATCATGGCAGGATTTGTAAAGTATGATTTAAGTGATGAATTAGTAGCATGTTTAGTTGATTATGTGCTTGGAATTGATATTGTTTGAGCATGAATTGTTATGCAAGCATGTGAATATATTATTTGAGGCATGATACAAA